TTGTTGTGGGAGGTTTTTTCCTTCAAAGTGTAAGTAATTTTTTCAATTTTTCTTTTAGGACTATTCTACAATGAAGTACTCTTGGATACTGTAATCTAAATACATATGAAGACGAAGAAGTGGCATTTATCGAGCAGAGAATCGGCGAGCCATTAAAATGGCGGCATATGGACGAAATATCGAAGGACACAATATCGAAGATAAAATACACTGCACTGCTCCAAAACTTGCCGAAACTTGGTTGAAATCTCCTTTAGCCATTTGCCATTATGTAAAAGTACAACAACTGGATGTTATTTGCGAGACACGGCGATATAAAGCAAACAAGACGGCAAAGTATGGCTGAAATCGTGTTTTCGTGGGGGGTAAGTGAAATAAAATATATTATATTTATAGAAAACAGTGACTATCCTTTTGAAAACTGCAATAATTATATTAAGTTAAGCATAGTTTTTCATCCCATGGTAATTTTTTTTAGGAAATAAGGATATTTAATTTCTGCCATGTATATTAGTTATTTTCTGCATAATCAGCAATTTACTTGGGGTGATGAATGGTCATTTTCTTGTAAAATATTATACTTACACAAATTTTTCCTTCCAATAACCACCCCTAAAAGCAACCCTTCTAAACACTATAAGCACTTCAGAAAGGCTGTCGCTTTTGCTTTTCGGAAGTTAGAGCTATGTCGGCACTGCCGTTTCAGGGTGGGGTCATTTTCAGGACTTTCGTCCAGGATTCAGGTTTTGGCACATATGCCATGTTGACCGCCATGGTCATTTTACCCTAAAACAGTTGAGATTACCTGTGGTAAATGAAACGCATACAAACTCATATACAGGTCCTAGACTAATATTGCGTAGATTTTCAAAAATTTACTCAATATTCACGTTAGCCCGCGTTGAGTTCCCTTAAGCCTGCTCCCTTGGGCCTGCACGCGGGCTATATTCACGTCTGAAATGTTTATACATCTGAAAACAACACTGTCACTCCTTCCTAGCATATCGTCACGCCATCGTGATCTACTGCTCGATAGCGCATGCGCATTTGCCCTACTAAAGAAAAATCGGGTGTTCCGGGGTAAAGATCCTTTACACAACATGAGAAGCGAATGTTCTAAAATTTACAAAAAATTACAATAACAAAAGCGATTCCTCGAAATTTTTGTGAACTTGGCAAAAGGATAACAGAATATGTAAATAAGTTTACTGTATGACTGACTGATAAGTTTGAATTTCCCCCCAGTCATCACAATACTGTGAAGTTCACACTAAAAATGGGATAGGCATTACGTAATGTTAGCGTTGCCAGCAAGTTTGTTACACGCGTTAGTAATTGCTCTGCCTATATGAAAACTGACTAAGTGTTACGAAATTAATAAAATTTGAAAGAAACACTTCAATACATCCCATAAATTTAATTATATGAACAACCCAATGTACAAAATTTAAAATATTGAATTTAAGTTTTGAGTGTAGTTCAAGAGCCTTCAGAAAAGATCTGATTAAAAACGTTTTAAACTTTGTGTTTTGCCAAAACAGCACTCAGTCGTATAACGACGTTTGCAGTTGCAACATGGGTCGTGGCTTTAGTTTTCGACTCTTGTATCGAGTCGTTTTCTTTTGCTTCTGTCTGATTTTCGCCTGTTTTTGTTGCATGCCATATATGGCATGCAACTTTCATATAGCTCTAAATTTCGTGTCGTGTTCGGTGAGCGGTGGTCGGTGAGCGTACCGGTCACGTGGCAGATTCGTAAAATGCGACAAATACCGAGCTTTTCCGACGAACATTTACGAACATATATATAGTATAATTAAGAACAACTGATCATGTGATGTGAGGGGTAGCAAATCTTCGAGTTAAGCCCCTCGAGTTAAGCCCTTCGAGTTAAGCCCCGACCACGCCCTTTCGAGTTAAGCCCCGACAACGCCCATACCTCGCCCATGCCACACCCATTTCCGCTGAGGGCTTAACTCGAAGTACATAACTGGTGTTAGGTACTTCGAGTTAAGCCCTCTAGAAAATAGGGGCTTAACTCGAGCAAAGTCAAACATTTTGTTCTTCGAGTTAAGCCCCAACGTTTGAAAGATGTAAACGAGTTACGGTTAATCTGATCCCAAACAAATTAAATTATCATTTGGATCGCGTTTCGTTCAATCACGGTTCAATACGTTTTCAGCCGACGTATTATATATATTAGGGACTTTAAGATTGACGTTTACGGCAAACCGCTAACCGGCAAACTTCAAATCGTAATTTCAAGTCAACTGTTAGCTGTTCGAAGTTAGAGCAACTTGCGCATAAAAATTAACAATTATAACTACATCAGTAGTTATAATTATAAGTGTTGTTTTATGCTCATTTTTTGCATTTTCAAAAACAGTAGTTCAACGTTCAAACATCAATAGCGCAGTCAATATTGCATGTAAATTCAAGTGCTATATATCAAAATCGAAGTTAGTCATTTCTGAATGCATTATCGCTTTTATAGCTTTTACGTTACATGAAATCAAATAGTGTCCAGTTTTTTGGGGGGACACCCGGTATTTTAAGGTAGATTTGCATTTCGCAACTTGTGGGGCGATCGACATTTTGCGACCATTTTGTTTTTAAATGTGTGCAGTCTAATGAAATCGTTCTATATAATGAAGACTTGAATAGTTGTAACAACCATATAATGTGAAAGTGCATATTTCCACCGTTGAGAATTGGGTCTAAAACTATTAGTGAAACTGATTAACTCCCTTTACTCTTTAGGACTTAAGTTGATGAATTGAACTTCAATAAAATACCTGCGTATGTATAATTATCATAAACGTCTTGTAAACCAGCCATGAGCTCATTTTTAAAATGACACGTTCGTGATTATAAATTGCTAATCAAAATCTAAGTTAGCCATTATGAATGCAATGATCTTTATTTCATTGCGAATCTGCGATAGCTTTTATAGCTTTTACGTGACATTAGATCAAACAGAGTCCGGTGTTTTTTGGGATACCAGTATACAATTTGATAATATTTTAAGGTTGACCTTTACGGCAGAAAAGGTCGATCTTTATTCCTTTATTAGCTAAATTAAAGTAGCTAAATCATAGTCCAATTTTTATGCACAAGTTGCTCCAACTTCGAACAGCTAACAGTTGATTTCAGATTACGATTTGAAGTTTGCCGTTTGCGGTTAGCGGTTTGCCGTAAACGTCAAACTTAAAGTCCCTAATATATATAATACGTCGGCTGAAATAAAACGTATTGAACCGTGAATGAACGAAACGCGATCCAAATGATAATTCAATTTGTTTGGGATCAGACTAACCGTAACTCGTTTACATCTTTCAAACGTTGGGGCTTAACTCGAAGAACAAAATGTTTGACTTTGCTCGAGTTAAGCCCCTATTTTCTAGAGGGCTTAACTCGAAGTACCTAACACCAGTTATGTACTTCGAGTTAAGCCCTCAGCGGAAATGGGTGTGGCATGGGCGAGGTATGGGCGTTGTCGGGGCTTAACTCGAAAGGGCGTGGTCGGGGCTTAACTCGAAGGGCTTAACTCGAGGGGCTTAACTCGAAGATTTGCTACCCCGTGATGTGAAACCTCTGATGTGAAACCAAACTTCATGCACATTTTCGTCGATTCTTGGCCGAATATTTTACACAATCGAGCGCTTTTAGAAGACCTTAGAAGGTAGGTAAAGCTTTGCTGTTTTTAATTTACCTTATATTCTGTTATCTGTTGTGATTTTGGGGCCTTTGTGCTCGCACTGATTATTTATCAGGCGTTATTATATAGCGTGAAAGGCCACGCTATCAAAATACTCAATTTTATACTCAAACTGAAACGGAGCCATTGTGCTCGCACTGATTATTTATCAGGGCGCTATTAGCGTGAAAGGCCACGCTCTCAAAATACTCAAATTGAAACGGAGGCATTGTGCTCGCACTGATTATTTATCAGGGCGCTATTAGCGTGAAAGGCCACGCTCTCAAAATACTCAAATTGAAACGGAGCCATTGTGCTCGCACTGATTATTTATCAGGGCGCTATTAGCGTGAAAGGCCACGCACTCAAAATACTCAAATTGAAACGGAGCCATTGTGCTCGCACTGATTATTTATCAGGGCGCTATTAGCGTGAAAGGCCACGCTCTCAAAATACTCAAATTGAAACGGAGCCATTGTGCTCGCACTGATTATTTATCAGGCGCTATTTGCGTGAAAGGCCACGCACTCAAATTGAACCTTGCCACTGTGCAGGTAAAAAAAGCAGCCCATTGCCATTGTGCTGGGATTATTGAGACTTTGCCATTGTGCAATTTTAAAAGAATTACAAATACAAACTGTCAAAGACAATACTGAAAATACACAGTACACTACTTATTGACAATTTACTGTAACGAAACTATTTTATTCCAAACAGTGAGAATATCGAAATATGGGTGTGTCAATTGAGATATACAGACTAAGAATTGGTTCGCATAACAACTTTGTGCAAGCACGACAGTCCATGAATCAAATGAAAGGTAAATTTTGGAATCATATGTTAGTAATGTTCTACTTAGAAATATTTTATTTACCATGCTTGAAAAATCTAGTTACCAGGATTGAAAATAATAATGAAGTTTGCATGTGGTATACACAAATGGTATCTTATCATGTTTACGTACCATTGCTATTGAGGCTTGCAAATGATGTAGAGGAAAATCCAGGCCCAATTAATATCTATGATATTGTTGATCATAGTTTTACAGTTCGAGCAGATTTCAACCAAGGTAATATATCCATGTTTGGCATAAATGCTGGAAAACAATGTGTTGCCATGTCAATTTATGCTATTGTATACAATGAAATAAAATCTGTTAATATTTGGGATACACCACTTATGAACATGCTTCTAGTTAATGCAAACAATCTTTATGCCATAATTAGTCAGCACATTCAGAAAGATTTCTTGCTGCTCACTGATGTTCCTGAAATATTGTCTATCAACAATGATACTTTGATTTGGAGTACAGTGACCCTTTTTCTGGAGCTTTATGGATGGCTCGCAACAATGAACCGTATGTTACACTTGAACATGCCTTTCATGAAGTATTTGATACTGGTAATTATAAAGCATGTTTACTTACTATTCGAGCAAACACTGTTGCAGTTTTAATGCCTTTCCCAGATGTATTCAAAGTTTTTGATTCTCATTCACGAGATATGCATGGAATGCCAGCGGCAATGGGTTATAGTGTTTTAGTTTCTATTGAAGGAATTGAAAACCTTATAAGTTTTTTTCATAACAGTTGTAACTATCCTGGACAAAATAGCGAAAATAGTCTATTTGAATTGAAGGGTGTTAAATGTCATAGAAACATTTCATTGTCAAATAGTTTGGATAACACAGCAAATGACGACACAACATCAAATATCCATGAACAACTAACAAAACAACAAGAGTCAGTTATAGAAAGAGAAAACAGACTTACAAAGCTAAGAGAGAAGCAAAGAGAGAAACGACAACAAGCAAAACAAAAAGAGTCTGTTGCAGAGAGAGAGAATAGACTTGCAAAGCAAAGAGAGAAAAGAAAACAAGAAAGTGTTTCAGAGAGGGAAAATAGACTTGCAAAGCAAGGAGAGAAAAGAAAACAGGCAATACAACAAGAAACTGTTACAGACAGAGAGAATAGACTTGCAAAGCAAAGAGAGAAAAGAAAACAAGAAACTGTTTCAGAGAGGGAAAATAGACTTGCAAAGCAAGGAGAGAAAAGAAAACAGATAAAACAACCAGAAACTGTTGCAGAGAGAGAGAATAGACTTGCAAAGCTAAGACAGAAAAGAAAACAGGTAAAACAACAAGAAACTGTTTCAGAGAGGGAAAATAGGCTTCAAAACCAGCGAAAAGCAAGAAGGTTGAAAAGGCAAAATGAAACTGTCGAACAAAGAGAGCAAAGACTAGCAAAAGTAAGAGCTAATTATAAGGAAAATAAAAGTAGACATTCTACAAAAAACAAACAATCTCCTCCATCAGGTTGTCAAGGGCCCAATAATGATAACAATATATCACATAATAGTGTATCACAATTAATACATAAATTCCATAAATCTGTATCAACAGGTCCTCTGTATATATGTTCATGCTGTGATCAATTATCGTATAAACCTAGTGTTTGTCCAGCCGAAAGACTTCGATTATCCAATCCAAATTCTACTAAACATCTACAAGGTATTAAAAGTGTGGATAATATTGAATGGCTGTGTTTGACATGTGACAAACATCTTAAAAAGGGTAAAGTGCCACCCTCTGCAATTACAAATGGCATGAAGTTTCCAACAAAACCTGACTTCTTTGATTTAAATGAATTAGAATGCAGACTTATAGCTCCAAGATTGGCATTTCAAAAAATAATGCAAGCTCCGAGAGGACGGCAACTTAAAATTACTGGTAATGTTGTGAATGTACCAGCAGACATATGTAATACTTTTAACATGCTACCCAGGTTGCCACAAGATACTGGGACTATTAAAGTTCAATTAAAACGTCGACTGCAATATAAGAGTTCTGCCTTGTCTTTGAATGTGAGGCCTAATAAAGTGATG